ATAATTATAATAAAGTCTATAATGTAAATATACTTTTAGTGCCACAAAAAGAAACACAGTTTAATAACTTTTTCTTTCTTTCTTTCAGATGTTTTGACAGTTTATCTGGACTAGGTATTCCTAGAATGTGCACATGAAAGTGAATGACTTACTTGATAAGGTAATCATTAATTTCCAAAGGGAGGGGAGAACAGAGGAAGAAGAATGAGAAAAAAAAAGAGAGAGAGAAAATCATGTTTCAGATGAAATTAACACTGAAAAAGACTAATTGTATTCCTTCTGAAAGGAGAGGGAGGAAGGTTATATGCAGAAAACCAGATTTTGAAATATGACATAAAAAAGAGTGATATTAAAATCGTCTTGAGCCTTGGAGATTTTATCAATTAATATAATTTAAAAGACAACATTTATTAAAATCCAAATTATGGAAATAAAGGATGGGCTATCTCCAACTTTAAACAAAAGAATCTCTCTTAGAAAACAAGACAATCTCCTCTTAAAGGTTTCTTCGCTTTTTGTTCTGAAGTGCTCCTCAAGTAAACAATCTTGTTTATGTCAAAAGTTCCCCAAGATGGCCACTGCAATTCCAGATTGTGCCTGGTGAAATTGTGCCAGTTGTAGAGATAAGCACGCACATTTGAGTGACAGTGAGGAAACCTGAAGGACACAGGTATCTGGCCTGGAAGATGCGCAGTTTCAGGTTGAGTGGAGCCCATGAGAGCGGCAGTGGTCTGTAATGATGGCTCTCCTCTAACGCTGAGACTCTGGAATGTGGGCAGAGGCCAGTTATCTACAATCAGGGCTGAAAAACAAAATAAAGCGGTTCTCAAGGTCACAAAGATACGACAGAGGAAGTCCGTAAAAGTTTTGAAATGGTGTCCTGAACAAAGTTTGTCGAAAGGGTAAAGTTTATCCAAAAATGCCAGTCCTTCTGAACTCTCAGTCCCTGAGGGCAGCCAGAGGACAGACTTACGGGGCCTCTGCCTGTCCTTTCCTCATAGACAGACAGTAGAACAGATGTTAGAAGGCTAGAAAACAATTTTTCCAACTAACCGGACTTGTAAATCTGACCAGATAACTAAAGTCTCAGAGGATTTGTTCCTAGGAGAACAAAACAAACACACTGATGAAGGTTCTGGGCAAAATACCAGAGCTCAATTCCATCTGAACCCCTCTCCAGCCATGGGCAGGTGTCTCAGATGTACACACAGTTACTGAGTTGAGAGTATTTTGCTCAAGTCAGCAAGGACTTCAGATCAATCTTTGTGAAACTTCATTTCTGTCAATTGTCCCCAATCCAAGTCCACCAGAAATACATCTGTAATTGAACAAATTGACTTCAATGTTAATTGCAACAAGGTTGTTGAATGCCTTCTCCCATCTTCCCTGGGATCACCTCTCTAGATGCACAGGGTGGGCAGGTCGGGGAGGAACGGTGTGGGTGGGGAAGGGGACTTAGTGAAATCTAAGTGTTTTCCTGAACACAAGAACTATTGAACATTTCTTCTAGATGGAATTTTGCTGCCATCTTAGGACATCCTGTTCAAACCACACCTAACCTTTTTTTATTTGTTTGCTTGTTTAAAAAAAATTACAATTGTAGATTTTCATGCAGTTGTAATAAATAATAGAGAGAGAAATCTCTTGTGCCCTTTCCCTCAATGGTAACACCTTGCAAGACTATTGTATGTCAGAGCCAGGATATTGACATTGATACAGTTATGATACAGAAATTCCCCAATCTGCCTTTTTATAGCTTTATTCACTTCCCTCCCACCCTCACCACCTTCTTAATCCCTGGAAACTACTTTGTTCTTCATTTCTACAATTTTGTTATTTTAAGGATGTTGTATAAATGGAATCACACTGTATGTAATCTTTTGAGATTTGTTTTTCTGTATAGCATAATTCCCTGGAGATTTATTCAAGTTACTGTATGTGTCAGTAGTTTACGCCTCCCATTGCTTAGTAGTATTCCATGGTGTGTATGTACCACAGTTTGTTTAACCATTGAAGGGTTGTTTCCCGTTTGGGACTATTACAAATAAAGCTGCTATAATCATTCATGTACAGGTTTTCGTGTGAACATACCTTCATGTCCTAGAATAAATGCCCAGGAGTATAATTACTTGACTGTATGGTACTAGCATATTTCATTTTTTAGGAAAACTGCCAAACTGTTTCCCAGAATGACTATCATGTTACGTTCTTACCAACAATGTATGAGTGATCCAGTTTCTCTGTATTTGGTGTTGTCACTATTCTTTATTTTAGCCATTCTGTTAGGTATGTAGTGATATCTCATTGTGGTTTTAATTTGAATTTCCCTCATGGCTAATGATGTTGAACCACTTTTCATGTGCTCATTTGCCATCTGTATATCATCTGAAAATGTCTGTTTATATCTTTTGCTCATTTTCTAATTAGATTTTTGTTTTACTGTTGACTTTTGAGAGTTCTTTATATATTCTGGATAATCCTTTCTCAGATATGTGCTTTGCAAATATTCTATCCCAGTCTGTAGCTTGTCTTTTCATCCTGCTAACAGGGTCTTTTGCAGAGAAAAGGCTTTTCATCTTAATGAAGTCTAATTGATTAATTTTTCCATTAATGGATTATGGTTTCCATGCCAAGTCTAAGAACTATTTGCCTAGTCCTAGATCCCAAAGAGTTTCTGCAATTTTTTTTCTAAAAATTTCATAGTTCTACATTTTACATTAAGTCCATGCTCCATTTCAGTTAATTTTTGTATAAGGTGTGAGGTTTAATTCAAGGTTCATTCTTTACCTATGGCTACCCAATTGCTCCAATCCTCTGAAAAAACTCTTTCCTCCATTGAGTTGCGTTTGCACCTTTCTCAAAAATCAATTGGGCATGTTTGTGTGGGTCTATTTCTGGATTTCTCTTCTGTTCTGTTGATCTATGTGTCTGTCCTTCAACCAATACCACACAGTCTTGATTACCGTAGCTGTAAAATAAGTCTTGAAATTGGATGGATTGACTCTTCCCAATTCAATCTTCTTTTTCAAAATGTTTTAGTTATTCTATCTAGTTCATTTGCTTTTCCATATAAATTTTGAAATAATCTTGTCTATACAAAAAACTCTTACAGGAATTTTCTTGGGAATTGCATTAATCCTGTGTTATAAATTTAGGGAGGATTAACATCTTTATTCTATTGAGCCTTCCATTCTATGAGCATGATATGTTTCTCCATTTATTTCAGATTTTAATTTCCATCATCAGCATTTTGTAGTTTTCAGCATGTAAGTCCCGTACAGGTCTTGTGAGATTTACATTCACATGTTGCATTTTAGTTTTGAATGAATGTAAATGGAATTATATTTTTAATTTCAGTGTGTTCACATGTTTCTTGCTAGTATATAGAAATATAATTGATTCTTCTACATTTATTTTGTGTTAAAATTCACTTACTAGCTATTGATAAATTAGGGATAAATCTGCCATTTTATTTTTTGTTTTCTGTTTGTATCATTTTCTTTTTTCATCTTGCTGCTGGTGACCTGAACACATTTTAGAGTTTTGATTTTTCTGCAGTGTTTTTGAGTGTATCTCTTTGTATAGTTTTTTAGTGGATTCTCTAGGTATTCCATTTTATATCCATTACTTATCACAGTTTGTTAGCATCATCATTTTACCAGTTTAAGTGAAGTGTAGAAACTTTACCTTTCTTTATGTCTCTTTATTTTCCCTCATTTATAATATAATAATCTTAAATAATTCTGCTCCCTATATCCATTTAGAACCACACCAGACAGCATTATAGTTTTTGTTTCAACCATCAAATGAAACTTAGACTTGAAAAGAGAAGGAAAGCCTATTGTATTTATCCATATTTTTGCTTACCGTGTTCTTTCTTCTTTTCTAATGTTCTGAGGTTCCTTCTTTTATTGATTCCTGTTTGGAGAGCTTCCTCTAGTCATTCTTTTAAGATAGGTCTACTGACAAAAAATTCTTAGTTTTCTGTCATCTGAGAACATCTTGACTTCCCCTTTATACTTGTAGGATATCTTTGCTGTCTATTGAAAGCTGGGTTGACAGGTCTTTTCTTTCAGCACTTGAGAAATGTGCCATTTCCTTCTGTCCCCAATAGTTTCTGATGAGAAATCTGTCGTCCAGCAGATTTAGGGTGCAGTGTCGTAGGGAGACCCTCGTGTCAACAGGGGCTCTAGGCCACAAGTTCCCTAGGTTCGAGGCTTCAGCTTCAACCAAACAAATTAATGGTTATTTTACACTCTAAATTAGAAAATTTATCATGAAATGTAATGTAGCATATAGTAAAGACTTAGGTAATAGTTTTAAACTCAAGTTTCAAAGAAAAACTAGTATTTCTCCCTATTTCATTAAAACCTAGAAAGATGAAATCAGTGATAAAGAAGGAAAAATAAAATGCACAAAGTAATTTTTTGTGTCTGTTTCTTTTTAACCCAGCACAGAGAGAAAACTATGTCCTCGCCTCCACCCATCTCCACACCAGAAATGGAACCGAATGGCACCTTCGGCAACAACAAAAACTGTACAATTGAAAACTTCAAGAGAGAATTTTACCCAATTGTATACCTGATAATATTTGTCTGGGGATCCTTGGGAAATGGCCTTTCCGTATATGTTTTCCTGCAGCCTTATAAGAAGTCCACGTCTGTGAACGTTTTCATGCTAAACCTGGCCATTTCAGATCTCTTGTTCATAAGCACACTTCCCTTCAGGGCTGACTATTACCTCAGAGGCTCCGATTGGATTTTTGGAGACCTGGCCTGCAGGATTATGTCTTATTCCTTGTATGTCAACATGTACAGCAGCATTTATTTCCTGACAGTGTTGAGCGTTGTGCGTTTCCTGGCAACTGTTCACCCTTTTCGGCTTCTCCATATCACCAGCATCAGGAGTGCCTGGATCCTGTGTGGGGTCATATGGATGTTCATGATGGCTTCCTCAGTAATGCTTCTGAAGAATGGCTCTGAGCGGAAGGGCAATGTCACATTATGTTTAGAGCTGAATCTCAATATAGTTACCAAATTGCAGATCATGAACCTTATTGCCTTGGTGGTGGGCTTCCTGCTGCCATTCTTCACGCTCAGCATCTGTTACCTGATGATCATCCGAGTCCTGTTAAAGGCGGAGGTCCCAGAATCAGGTCTGCGGGTTTCTCACAGGAAGGCGCTGACCACCATCATCATTACCTTGATCATCTTCCTCCTGTGTTTCCTGCCCTATCACACACTGAGGACCCTCCACCTGTTCTCATGGGAAATGGGTATGTGCAAAGAGGCGCTGCATAAAGCTGTGATCATCACGCTGGCCTTGGCAGCAGCCAACACCTGCTTCAATCCTTTGCTCTATTACTTTGCTGGGGAGAATTTTAAGGAAAGACTAAAGGCTGCACTTAGAAAACATTATCCACGGAAGGCAAAGACGAAGTGCAGCTCTTCTGTTTGTGTGTGGTTGAAAAAGGAAACAAGAGTGTAAGGAGTTATTAGGTGATGCCTGTTTTTGTACCCTCGTGTCCACCGTCCATCACTCACAGTCTCCAAATAACTTTGTATTTACACCATTGCCATCAAGTGTCAATCTCAACATTTAATTGACCATGACTTTTGTTAATAAGACCTACTTCAAAAATTTTATTAGGTGTATTTTCAGTGATTGAGTCTTTATGAGAGAGATAAGGAGGAAAAATCCCTACTAGAGTCTTACAGGCTGAAATGTCAGACTGGTGAAAAGAATGCAAAGCACAGTGTATTCTGGATCAGATCTCTGGCCCATCAAATATTCCAAATTCTTAACTTTAAGACAGCGCCAACTTCCCTGGCTTCTTCAGTTTTTCTTCCCTTTTCAATCCCTTGAGATACGGCCAACTAACAGAGCTGCTGCTGGAGGCCCCAGAGCAGATAAGAAGCACCGCCCAAGAATTCAGGAGAAGACTGACTGTGAAGAGGAAGGCTGCCCTGGAACAAAACAGAGTCATGGTCCCAAACAAGAACAGTGGGAGAAAAGATGGGAGATGGTTTGAGGCACCAGAGAGCTGGTGATAAGTAGGGGAAAGGAGGAATTTCATTTTGAACTGGGAGAGAGGCCCTAGCACAGTGAAGGCAAGAATGCTTCGTTTACCTCTCTCTTGCCCGGGGAGTAGGAAGGACAGGAAATGTAGGAGGAAGACCTTCAGCATTGCCCTGGGATGGAGGAATTGTGGTGGAATAGAAGAGAAGTGGGGATTGGTCATGGACATGTATCTCAATTTTACTTTGAGATTTGAGTTTGGACTGACTTCACTGTAGTTCTCCCTCCCTCCCATTAATCCATGGAGATGGGAGCCAAAATAAAAGAAGTGGCTCTAAGGATTTGGGTTGGTCACTCAAGGAGGAGGTAGAGTGGAGGGCAAGTTGCAAAGGCTCGTGTACCTCTGAAATTCTTTTAACATTTTGGCAGAGTATGAATAGGGTGATGCTGCCTTCCCTTTTGAGAGAGTGTAGAAAAACTCTACATACATAGTCTCTCTAGTGTTCCTTTCTATGCACTGAAACAAGGCTGAGAATACCACCAACTACTACCACCATGACCACTGCACTGCCAAAAGTTAAGTACCCTCCACATGCTGGGCAGACTGTGTCAAGCACTTTACACTCATTAATCCCGTTTAACATTCACAGCAAAGCTCTGAGTTTCCATTTTACAGAGGAAGAAATTGAAGCTCAGAGAAATTAAGAAACTCGTTCAAGTCCACACGGCTAGTAAGAGTTTTAAAAACCTCCGTGCAGAAGTGTTGTCTGGGTGCTGTCCCCACTGTTACCCTTGCAAATTTTCAGGAAGATTGTCTGAATAAGAATTGTCTGAAAGCCTGAATAAGAGTCCCTCTCCCCAACTAGGTACCTATCCCTCCTCAGGCTCACAAGGAAACAAAGGTTTCCTCCTTGGGGTTGTTAACCCCGGTTCAGTGGAGAGTGGAGAGGAGATGGTGTTCTGAACCTATGGAGGGATTAAGTCCTTCTTCATACTAGACAAGAACCCCAGTACTCTTCCCTTATCCAGCTACCAAAATGATGACAGACAGACTCATACCTTGTCACAGTTAGACCCTAGATGATCCTCCTATGGGGAACTGCCAAGTCTGAGAAAAAAGGCCAACAGATATACAGTTGGGAATCCTCCAACACAAAATCCAAGTGTCTGCCCTATTACCCACTTGATAGTGAAGTTCACAATGCAACTCAGCCCTTCCACTCACAGAGAGCATCTAATCAATTTGTTAGAGCCTCATTCTTAATTATGAACAGCAGTCATTTGAAGAAAAGGCTCTAATGTGAAAGACACCAACAAATAAATGAGAAGATAGATAGAGACATTTTCAGTATAAAAGGTCTCAACATTTTTATCACCTTCACACTTTTATTAGAAAGCTACTGGAGGATGTGCTCCCTCAAAATAAGAAAGTAAACCAAAATAGAGGAATACATGGCAGCTAGGAATCAAGGAATCCAACACAAGAGAAAGGCAAAGAGGACTCCCAGGACGTTAGTATATAGCAGGCTTACAAAGCAGCTCATTCGGGCTGGGGCAAGATTCTCAAAGGACTCTAGGAGGAATGTCCAGAAGAAATACAAGAAACTAATTGAGAGAGCTCTTCTCTTGGAGAGCTGGGGATGAATTAGTGACAAATACATAGAAAACTATGCAAATGGGAAGAATGCTAGAGGAAAATAAACTGTTGTATAAGAGAGGAAATATAACCATAGTACACTACATGGCTCAGTTGTGAATAATACTGATGCAGCAAATAATGTAAATACAGTAGCCTCCACCCCCATCTGCAGTTTCCCTTTCCACAGTTTCAGTTACCCATGGCCAACCATGGTCCAAAAATATTACATGGAAAATTCCAGATATAATTCTTCAGTTTTAAATTGCATGCCATTTTGCATAGCGTGATGAAATTTCATGCCATCCTACTCTGTCCTGCCCAGGATGTGAATCATGCCTTTGACCAGCATATCCATGCTGTGTATACCCACCCATGAGTTATTTAGTAGCTGTCTAGATGCTCAGATCGACTGTCATGTTATCACAGTGCTTGTTTTCAAGTCACCCTTATTTTACTTAATAATGGCCCCAAAACACAAGAGTAGCGATGCTGGCAACTCAGATATGCCAAAGAGAAGCTGTGAAGTACTTCCTTTAAGTGAAAAGATGAAAGTTCTAGACTTAATAAGGAAAGAAAAAAAATCATATACTGAGATCGCTAAGATCTACAGTAAGAATGAATCTTCTAACCATGAAATTGTGAAGAAGGAAAAAAATTTGTGCTAGTTTTGCTATTGTACTTCAAACTGCAAAAGTTCTGGCCACAATGCATGATAAGTGCTTGGTTAAGATGAAAAAGGCATGACATTTGTGGGTGGAAGACATGAACAGAATCACATTCCAATTGATGGCAATCGAGTTCAGTACTGTCTGTGGTTTCAGGCATCGAGTGGGGGTCTTGGAACACATTCTCCTTGGATGGGAGAAGCTACTGTCGGGAAATACTGCGATATAACTTTTTTCAGGAAATGAGGGGAGAGGATGTGTGTGCTTGTGGGAGAGCATGAAAAACCTAAGTTCCCAGGTTCCATCACAGGAAATGCATAATAACTAAAGATGGGAAACAATGAATAGTGGGATAAGCATGTAATTTAGCAATCCGAGGTAAATACCAAAAGAAGCAGGAAAAAGAATGAACGGGGATTACCTCAGGAGAGAAGTCAGGGACAGGAGGGTAGGATGGGGGACTTCTCTTTTGAAGAACTGTCTGTCTAACTTGTGAATATGTATTGCTGAAGTAAAATAAAATTTAAGTTAAAATTAAATTTTAAAATTCAAACCAATTCTGAGTGTTTTAAAAAACAAAGAAGTCAGGAAAGGCCAGCAGAAATGGAAACTGAACACGTACGGGGCAAGGAAAGCAGGAGAGAAGGAGGCCTGGATTGGGGTCTTTCAGGGAAGCCCACCCAGTCCTACCATGGGAGGTGAGTCATCTCTTGGGGTGAGGGGAGTCATTTCCTGGAGTCAAAGGTGATGTGATGTGTCACTTAGGATATTTTTAGTTTCAAATAACAGTTAATCCATTTCCAAGTGGCTTACACAATAAAGGGATTTCACTATCTCATGTAACTGAAATATACCAAGGGAAGTTGGACTTCAAGCCCTGTTCAACCAGGGCTTCTCTCTCCAGGGGGTGGCTTTGTCACCTGGCTGAGTCCCCTCATGGTAACAAGCTGATTACAAGCAGCCTGAGGCTACATGCTTCCTTATTTGTTTCTAGGAAAAGAAACAGAGTGTTTCCTACACAAATAACCAAGCTCAAGTCCTTGGCTTTATCTTGATTGGACCTGCTCAGATCACATAGCCACCTCCAAAGCAAACTAGGGAAGAACAGATTACTCTGATCAAATGAGGATGCTAAGAATCCACCCCTGGAGTAGGGGATGGGGTTAAACCCATCGAATCTCAGCTGGGAGAGGGGTGAAATGGGGCTTGCAGAGGGCACGTATTCCCAGCAGATGAGACAGAGCTGCCAACCGGCCAGGCATCTGTGTGGGGTGTGGCCCATACCTGTGCAACAGGTCTAGCAGCTTTGGAGGGTCCAGGGAAAGATGGGCTCAAGGAAGAAGGGAGAAAGCTGAATTATGAATTTCTATTGTGGAGTCGTAGGGATGTTCCAATGGACATTAGAAATCTCTTCAACCTTTCAAGGGCAAAATAGCCCAGACAAAGCTGGTACTAACTGAGAGCAACCAAGGTCTCTGGGATGAACAATAATGGAGGGATTGTGAGTTATTAGTGTCTCTAAGTCTATGGGGTGTGTGTGTGTGTGTGTGTGTTTGTGTGTGTGTATGTGTGTGTGTATGAGAGAGAGACAGACAGACAGACGGAGACAGACAGACAGCAACAGTGACTTAATGACTTACTTTTCCTTTTTCCAGCCAGGGTGAAGCATCTTCTTTGGTGAAAAATGTTGTCCCTGGGGAAGGAAACAAAATGGAAGTCTTTATTTGCCAAAGTGAAAGCCAATGGTGTCCTGGTGTTTTAGGTACAGCTCTTTTTGTTTGAGAGGTTAGGTATCTCCCCTCAAGCAAACACATACATTGTTCAACTGGGAGAAGGGATTTTTGTTGTGTAAACTTTGGTAGAATTATGATACTGGAACTGTGTTTTTTTTTCAAGGGGTACCTAAGAAGCAAATGCTATTATATTTTGTAACTAGGTTAAATGACCAATTCTCTGTTTTAGATTTAATTAAGCTGATTGGCAATTTATTCTCAAGTAGAGATGATGTTAAACTGGCCAAAAATGGGTTAGGAGAGAAGATTGACAAGGGACGTGGCTTTCTACAGAGAATTCATTTTTCTTCTTGGAAAAGAACTTGAAAATAGAGACCCAGTCTGGAGAGAATGGTGCAGGCAGTGGGGTAACCCTAGGGATATGATGATGGGAGATCCTTAATCTTAAGACAGTTCATCCACA